GCTGCGCCGGGACGAGGGAGGCGAGAGGCTGGCGGTGAGCTCCCTGCCCCACTAAATGATAAACCGTAGATTGAGCCATAATAGCTCTTTCTAAAGTGGGTGGGTTCATGAAGAAAACTGCAGTGTGCAGTGCTCTGCAGCTGACTGCTCAGATGTAATTCCCTGGGCTTGTCTACACTTGATAGCAACCTGTATTAAAGAAGGGTGTGATTTTGCAAGTGGAAAACTCCATATTTAGGAATAACGAGGTTAAACCAAACAGAAGGAAGATACTCTTGTTCTGGAATTAGCACTCCAAGGAAAGCAAAATACTTCCACAAACCTTTTGTCTGAGAGGGAGACAATGAGAGATGTCTGATTCCTGCGTGCAAGCCCCCAACACCTCTCTTGTTTTTAAAACACTCGCCTTCCCCAACACTTTCTCCCCGAAGAGTGTGTGTAGTTGGAGCAATATGTGCAAAACGGTTTGCTGGGATGCAGCTTCATAGCTGGGCACAGTGTGGGGTGCCTGATTTCTGCTTCCCTGTGGAGTGTCTGCTTTAAAGTTCTGGAGAAGTTCCAGAATTTGAAAGGTTGACAGCCCCATCAGGCAGAGCATCAGCTCACAGGCCAGCAAGAGGAATCTTGCCGTTGGCCCAGCTCCGTGCTGGCGGCTGAGCGGGGGTCTCTGAAGTGCTGCTTGGTAGACAGATCTCCCTCAAGGTGGCTGGCTCTGTGGTGTGTCAGTGGATGCACACTCACACAGCGTGTGTACGGTCCTGTTTTGGGTTCCAAATCAAAACTTTTCATGCAAAAAAAAAAGTCTCTTTTGGTCATCATTTATGCTTTGCTGCAGGAGGCAGACAGTAAGAAGCTCAACTGCGTGCTTATGTGTCTAGATTTCTCTGAGTGGTGCCTGAGTTGAACTTGGGTACAATCCTGATTCATCCCAGGCCCTGAATGTGTGCAGGCTTTTTTGGAAGTGTGTACGGCCACAGAGCAGGTGCAGCAGCTCAGGTCTGTGTCCTGTCCTGAGAGCGGCTGTGTGTTGGCTCAGCGCAGGGATTCGCGGTCCTTGCCCTCTGGAGATGGCAGGGCTGTGCTGGGACATCTCAGGCAGCGTAAGCTGATACTGACCCAGCACCTCCGCTGGTCTCTCAGCAGGTGAAGGAGGCCCTCAGACTGGCACCATGACAGAGTGCTTTGACTGCGATAACTGCAAGGAGTCCTTGTATGGGCGCAAGTACATCCAGATGGACAATGGCCCGTACTGCATCCCCTGCTACGATGCCCACTTTGCCAACACCTGCGATGAGTGCAAAGAGCTGATCGGCCATGACTGCCGAGTGAGTATGGGGCCGTGCGGGAGGGCAGGGCGGTTCCCTGGGGCGATCGGTCCCTCCTCATCTCGGCTGTCCTCCCCAGGAGCTGTACTATGAGGATCGCCATTACCACGAGCACTGCTTTCGTTGCTTCCGCTGTGACCGTTCTCTGGCCGACGAGCCGTTCACCTGCCAAGGCGAGGAGCTGCTGTGCAATGACTGCTACTGCAGCGAGTTCTCCTCCAAATGCATTGCCTGCGAGAAGACAGTCATGCCAGGTAGGAGCGGGCAGACTTGAGCACTGCAGTTTGCTCTTGGTCCCAGTGGCTTCGGCCGGGGCTGCAGGGTCCAACACTAGGGCAGCAAGGAAGAGAGCTGAACTGCTGTCCTGCCCCACTGTCACTGCGTAGAGCGAGCCAGGCACTTTGCTTGTCTGGCAAGACAGCAGGATCCTGAGCTGTGATCACCACAGCAGCCCTGCCTGTCTGTTCCCCTTTTTCATGGGGAAGTGTGCTGGGGAGGAGATAACAAAGGGTTTCCTAGGCAATTTCTGGTGCGTGCTGACGAGAAGAGAAGGAATGACTGAAGGCGTGTGAGCGTCTCTGGAGATGGCCTGAGGCAAGGGAGTGTCTTTGCTTGGCCATTCTGGCACCATTTTCAGATGTAGGTTACAACAGGCGTCTCTGCCGAGGCCTGTGTGCCGGTGCAGGGGACACGTTCCCGCAGTCCTGCCCTGGCGGCTGTGGGGAGGGCCTGGGGCTTCCCCTCTCCAGCTGCCTGCAGTCCTGTGCTGCCATGGGAGGGCAGGCACAGAGCCGGGTGTGCAGGACCGCAGCTTATCCTGCGCAGCCTCCAGTGTACCCTGTGTGTGCATGTGCTGCTCCCTCCTGTCACGCTGTGAACGGCTCTCTCTGCAGGATCCCGTAAGCTGGAGTACAACGGACAAACCTGGCATGAGCATTGCTTCATATGCAGCAGCTGCCAGCAGCCCATCGGGTCACGATCCTTCATCCCAGACAACAAGGATTATTACTGTGTCCCCTGTTATGAGAGCAAGTTCGCTCCTCGCTGCACTCGTTGCAAAAAGGTATGTCTGGCCTGACAGCCCAAAGCCCCCGAGTTCTCTGATCCAGGGACATGTTCCCCACTCCTGTCTGAGCCCCACCAGAGAAGGGCTCAGGCGCAAGCACCCTGGCTAGCCACTGGTTGTGCCCTGCGGCCCGTTTGCCCGTGTGTCACCAGTGTGCGCTGTCTTCTGCAGACCCTGACCAAGGGAGGAGTGACTTACCGGGATGAGCCGTGGCACAAGGAGTGTTTCGTCTGCACAGGCTGCAAGACCCCCCTGGCTGGGCAGCAGTTCACCTCCCAGGATGACAACCCATACTGCATCAAGTGCTTTGGGAACCTCTATGCCAAGAAGTGCAGCGCCTGCACAAAGCCCATCACAGGTGAGCAGAACGGCCCTGGTTACGGTTCCTGCCTGCTCTGGTTTCCAGACATTCACTGACTTCTCTGGGTGAAGCTGCCCTCTCGAGTGCACGTGTGACCCAGGCTCGTGTGATGCTCATACACGTCTGCGCCATGCAGGCTTGCTCAGGTGTCTCCAGGCACTTCAGGCCTCCCAGGGACAAATGTTAGGGAGTGCAAGGTGCCCTCAGACACGTCCCCCACAGAAACAATGGCAGCCACTCTCTGAGGAACCCCATGAGAGAGTATCTCTTTGTTGCAGCGGTCCTAGGGCTGCTTCTGTCCCTTCACCTGCATCTTTCAAAGTGGTGAACTGTCCCCCTTGGGAGGAATTCCCTCTGCCTAGGGGCAAAGGCTCCCAAAATGACCTCTCACAGCATGACCTTGTGTCTCTAGCTTGGCTGGTTTGAGGCTGGTTGCCATGTCCTGTGGAAGGATTGCTCCCAGACAGGGAAAGCCAGAGACTTCCAGCCGTAGCTGGAGCAGCAACTGCTGCAGGGGAGCGTGGACCTGTTCTGCCTGCCTAAGGGGAAGCAGGGAGTCCTCTTCTGCAGAAACCCCCGAGAAGGTCTGGCCTCCTCCCCGTCCTCCCCCACCTGATGTTTCCCTTTGCCACTCGTGTCTGTTGCTCCTGGGAAGGCAGGCAAAGCCATGAATCAGCTGGTGACTCAGAGGATGACTCTGGCTGCGGACAGGGCAGCTCCCAGGCACCCCACTTCCCGTCTGGTCCTTATCAGTGTGTTGCTGTCCCGGGGAGAAGGGGGTCACAGCCCACATGTCCAGACACTGCCGGCAGAGGAAGGAAGCTGCCCGCAGAGCCTCCGCAGGAGCACGGGGCTAGGCTGGTGGCAGGAGGGCTCTTCCCAGGCTTTCAGTAGCACCATCCTTGGAAGGAGCTGCTCCAGGGAGTGCTGCTGGGAGCTCCTGACAGCCCCCTCATTCACTGGGATGCTGCAGCTCCGCTCCCTGCTCCTCTCTGGGGAGAAAATGGTGATTCTGGCCTGGAGATCTGAATCCTGCAAAATCTGGTGTGAAATCATTTTTGTCCTCTCCCCGTCCCCCCCTCCTCCCCCCAAGAGTGGAGATTGGTATTTCAGATGTTTGCGATACTGCGGGGTGTTTGGGTGCCACAGTGCGGCACTGCGTGTGAAGACCTGACTCAGAGATGAACAGGTCAAGACTCGGTCTATGTGGGAAGCTCGTCCCAGTTTCCCCAGGGGTTCTGACGCTGCACTCTGTCCCTCCCGCAGGCTTTGGTGGTGGTAAATATGTCTCCTTTGAGGACCGTCACTGGCACCACAATTGCTTTAACTGCGCCCGCTGCAACACCTCGCTGGTCGGGAAAGGCTTCATCCCTGACAACGATGAGATCCTGTGCCGCGACTGCAGCAGCGACCTATGAGCCTCCGAGGACACCGTGGGGCAGGGGCTTTCTCTATTCTTCAGGGTCTTTGTGCCAGATACCCCAACAGCATCTCAGGGGCAGGGCACAAGGCACAGGAGATGGGGGCTGACCCCGAACCACGGTGTGTTCAGGAGGTTCCTGTGCCCCTCCCTGAAGGCTAGAGTACGCTATGCTATGGCTCTGTGCAGAGTCAAAGCTAAATAAAGTTGAAAAAGGAGCTTCAGGACCCCCCATTATTTACTCTATCCTTTTGTTTCCTGTCTGATCAGGCACGAGCAGCGCCCAGGGCCCCAGCTGAGCAAAGGGCAGCAGCAGCTTCAGCGTTGGGCTGCTGGATCTGCACGCTGGCAGCATGTATTTGCTCCCCCGGCACAGTGCTGACTTCTCTTTTCCCCATGTGCTTCCCTTGCTCTGTGTGATATAAGGCAGCAGCTCCTGGTCCATGCGGCTTGGCCGTGCTGGCCTGCGTGGCGGATGGCTTTGCAGCACAGCCTTTTCCATATGTGTGGCTGGCCTGTGGCGATCTGGGCATGAAGGGCATGCTCTGCCCTTTTTGGGAGGTTCGTGGACACCAGGCTGGAGCGTGGCCAGACGAAGAGCATGTGTCCTGCCAGATGGGATCCACCTCCAGATTTCTGTAGCCACCTCACCGTTTGCAGGCCAGACCCATTGCTCTGCACACCTCCGTGGAGGTGCTTTCACTCAGATGTGGATGAGGAGCTCAAATCGCTCGCAGGTACGGGGCCCCCACCACCTCCCTGCCCCATTCCCGTCCATCTGTGCCGTGATCTCCCGCAGCTGCCTCTGCGGTATCTGAGCTGGAGCTGGTGGGTACTGGCCCCGCTGGTGGTCCCCCCTGAGAAGCGCCTGGCTGAGCCCCGGAGAAGGGTGTGCTGAAGGCTGAGAGCACCAAGGGCTTTATTCCTGCTCCATCCCTCTCATGGGGAACCACGGGACGGAGACTGCCTTGCCGAGCCCAGCCGCCAGCAGCACAGGTAACATCGAAGACCCTTCGTTAATTCGAGGAGGGTCCGTGGCTGCTGGGAGCGCTGGAGGGGAGGATCTGCGGGAGTGCAGGGCTCCAGCACAGACATCAGCCGAGGGGGCAGTCGGGGTGTCCACAACCTGCTCCTGCCAGGGCCGAGTGTCCCCCCACGGCAGGCAGAGAGCGGTGGCTGCCCCCGGCCACGCTCACCCTTTGCTGTGTCCGAAACGAGAAGCAAAGCAAAGGTGGCACCCGGGCTGCCCTGAGGAGAGGCTTTGCATCTCCCAAGTCCCTGTGTTGGCCCTAACTGTGCAAAATAGGACATCTTGAGCCATCCCCGACTCATGCAAGGGCTTGAGCCGTCTTTGCCGATGGCTGAGCTGGCCCTGGGCCTCGCTAAAGCCCCTCTGGAGTGGGATGCTCATGCCTGCTTTGTCTCTACATCCTTCTTGCTTCTGTCTTGCTGGGGCACTTACGCTGACCCTGCTTTCCTGCTTAGACAGCCACGTGCTTTTCTGAAAGCATCTTCTTGTTTTTCTTTTGTACTCTTTTGTCATGAATATCTGTCATTTTGTAACCAACTGCAGGATGAAGGGGCTAGCCCCCCCCCCCAGGCTTCACTTAGGAACAGAAAATGTTATGCATGTTGAAGTGTTATTCACCCTGTATCCTTGTTGAACCCTCGTTTGAAAGCTTTGATGCAGGCAAATCAGAGTTTGTGTGTTTGCTATTCTGAGGAGCTTGGAGCAGTCTCTAGAAGGAAGTATCCTAAACCTCGGCCTCCTGTGTATTTCCTACGGCTTTATATAATAAACCGTTTTAGTGACACTTGCTCTCCTGTGTTTCTCGAACAGCAGGCACAGGGCAGAGCACTGTCTGAATCAGTGTTGTGGCTCTGTGCTCAGCCTTGTCCTCGCCCCTACCCCTATACTGGGGACCCCGCGGCACTCGTGCCTCCCCCTCCTCAAACCACACGCCCAGCATCAGCTGTACCAGTCCCGTGGGTCATGGCAGAGGAACAGCAGCTCCTTCCTGCTGCGGGGCTGCAGCGGGTTCCTGGTGCCGGGGCTGCCTGTCTGTCTGTGCCTGCTGTCTGCCCGGGCAGGCTGTTCTGCAGGACGGGACCGAGCAGGACTCAGCCGGTGCCAGCGCTGCACGGGCAGCGATGCCTCCGGGCGGTCTGTTGGGTCGGCTCAGCAGCAGCCAGGATGCTGCACTGCCACGGGAGCTGGTCTGGATCACTGCGATACCGAATCGCATCCCGCTGTGCAGACAAGCTTCCTTCCCCCTGCGATATATAGTCCCCAGTCCACATGTGTAGGCTTTCGGGAGGAGGTTTGGTGGGGAAGTTGCTGTGGTCTCTAGTCGGGGTAACAGTGGTTTCTTTCTGGCAGCCTTCCCTGAAGCAGTGCACGCTCATTACTCACTTTTATCAGCCGAGGAGCCATTTATTCCCCTAACATCTGAAACTGTTTTCCACAGATTCCTTTACATTTACTAACAGCTGCCATGACTTCCTCTAGGCTTGCCTGCCCCGGCCCACCCCGCTCCGTTCCCCCTGCACGGTGGCTTGGCTCCTGTGGGCGCTGCTCCGGCGGCACAGCCCACGGGGCCGTGTGGGACCACGGCACTGGCTCTGTGCGTGCGCATTCCTGGCTCCTTCGAAGGCTCCTGCTCTGGCAGCTAACGGGGTTTTTCAAGTAAGATTTTTGTCGTTGTTGCTGCCCTGTGACCTGTGCCGGGATCTGGTTTTGCCGCTGCTCGGCCTCAGAGGGTGAGCGAGCAGCTCCAGCCCGGGGAGGTTTCCAGCTGAGCCTGTCCTCCAGCAGCAGCACCACAAACCCTTGTTTCTGCAGCGCTGTTTCCAGGGATTAACCACAAAAGGTTTCTGTACAAAGGGCCCCCGGG